ATTTTATTTGCTATGTCAACATCGTTGACATGTTTTGTGCGACATAAATATCAACCCTTTGATAATTAACAATGGAAATAACAATTTTGAATGTGCATACGCTTTAATTTAACTATATGTTTAATGTTATAGTTTATTTATTACTTATTTGGTTAACTATAATTAAATTTGAAACCATCATATTGTTTAGTGAGGAAATTTGATGTTTAATGAATTAAAAAAAAATTGCAAGAATTTGATTCCAGCCAAAATCCGTATCTTAATCTTTGTATTAAATACTTTCACTCAAAACACCAGTATTGCCTCCATCTGCATATTATGTATCATCAAAAGCTGACCACACATCTGAACACATCTGTAAATCGTTCAGTCTGTGTTAATTCCCGGGAGACGCAATATCTACGCGAGCATTAAAAAATGGAAAGGTGGTCAGTCGTCCACACCGAAACCCTTTGATCTGTGCTAAATAAAACCGACAAACAATCGGATATCTTGCAGGACGCATCCGCGCGGACGTGATATATAAACAACAGATGATCAAATTACCACATCTACACATCTCCAGATGCATACGTATGTGTAGAGGAGCCATAGAGTATGTATCACCGATATATTAGGCGAAGCAATGAAGCAATAAACCTGCCAATTTTTTGCAGTTGAATCGATCTCTTGCAGCATTAGAAAATTTTGTGAACTAAAGTGATGATGTCGAAATGAAAATTACATTACTTAACAAGGAAAATGTATTTTCCAAATTGCATTTTGAAGTAACGAAAAATAATAAAAATTGTAATTCCGAAATAATAGATGGAAATGGGTTCAATATTAATAACTCGAGGGTTTGTGGGGTCGCCGAACACGAATATGATGACGGCGATAGTCTTCGTCCTGATATTGTTGAAATGTTGTTTCATAGTGACCATGAAGACGTGAACCCGGAAGAAATAAATGACGAAAAGAAACCACATATTTTCAAATCGGAAATAGAAACCGCAATAAAAAAATTAAAAACTGAAAAATCTCAAGGAAAGACGGAATCACGGCGGAATCACTTAAGAAACGGGAGACATAGGAATTGGAAGTAGTGTTCAAACTGTTTTAATGAAATCTGCAACACAGTACAATGGCCAGATGGATGGTGTAATAACTCAAAGGCTCACCAACTGACTGTAATAACTACCGCCCTATAGCTCTAATCTCCACCCAACTAAAGTTCTGCTAACTATAATTAACGAGAGATTAAAATTAAATGAATACTCCTACCACAGATCTCATAAGAACAATGTAGATTTGTCCCTGGAAGAGGCACACGAGAACAAATTCTCAATCTCAGACAAATTGTAGAAAAATCTAGAGAATTTAAATCTAGAAACGTATTTGTGCTTCGGTCGACTACTCGAAAGCGTTTGATAATGTAAAGTGGCATAAAATGTGGATACTGAGAGAAATGGGTATCCCCGAACATCTAATATACCTACTGAAACAACTGTATATCAACAACACAACAAACGTAGAGTCAACAACATATACTTCCGATAATTTTAAATTAAAACCGGATTCGTCAAGTTGTATTTCGACGGATGGCAAGGAGAAATATCAGTCGGAGGCCGAAAAATTAGCAATCTCCGCTATGCTGACGACACTTTAGTACTAGCATCATCAACAAATGACCTTGAATACATCATAAACAGACCAGATACTATTAGTCGTGAATATGACTTAAAATTAATTGTATAAAAGACCAAGGTAGTGATAATCGATCGAATTAGAAATTCTGATTAGATTCTGTTATCACAAACAATGGTGGATGCTAAGAAAGAGAATACGTCGACGCCTTACAATGGCCAGATCAGCAACGGTCAAACTTACCAAAATCTGAAAATATACGGACATAACCAGAAACACGAAACTGCGCCTATTACGGACGCTTATCTTTCATAATCGCTACTTATGCGTCAGTAACTTGACCATTAAAAAGTCCGACTCATGACGTATAAATGGCCTTTGAAATGTGGGTATATCGTAGAATGATGCCATACCCTGAACAGCACATCGCACAAATGTCTCAATATTGACAGAACTGACATCAATACTAGGCTTACCACAATCATCAATCAAAATATATTGAGGTACTTTGGGCACAGTACCAGACGAATGGAAGGCATGGAGAGGTTGGTGTTTGAAGGCACGGTAGATGGTAAAAGAACTCGAGGAACACCGCGCACAGGAGACAGAATAATGGATAGCAACTCATTATTTCGTCGTCAAATCCTATTTATTTAAGGAACAAATTGGTATTTCGTGGAGATGCTCATAATCTGGATTTGAGATATCCTCATAGTCTTATGCTGCCTAGGTATAGACTAGCTATTTTTCCAGCGATCGTTTACTTATAATGCTGTTTTAAGTGTTTAATAGTTTACCAATAAATTTAAGAGGTAAATCTCTTGATTTCATGAAGCGGCATTATAAGAAATTTTTACTACAATCGCAGTAACGTTATTATTATTATTATATAGTATATTGTTGTCGTATTCTTACAATTAGATATTTTTTGTTTTTGTTTATCTTTTATATCATATCATATATCACACAACATCACAAATTAATTTTATTTAATTATTTTTTAAATTATTATTTTTTTTAATTATTTTTTTTTATATATTATTTTTCTAGTAGCCACATGACATATTTATTCACTTCCAACTTTTTCATTTTCCAATTATTTTAAACTAATTTTGTAAACTTTGAGGTTAAGTGGAGTAGCTCTAGCTAGACTTCGCCTCATGTACCTAGTGTTTTGTAAAATTTTTACAGACTAAATAAAGGCAATTTATTATTATTATTATTATTTGTCAAATACCACGTCACCACATATTTACGAAGAATAAGGGATAGAGGAAAAGATGGATGGTCTCCGAGGCACCTGATACCCAAGAATGGGCCTCATCTCCTAGAGTTTTAATGGAAATTCGATACAAAATCAGTGCAAACTCATTACACTGGGTTTTTTCGGTGTCGCTTAACACAAATATCATCCTGTTAGGTTACATAGTACATAAATATTATTTTTTTTAGTATAAAATTACATTTATTTACAATTATATTGAACACATGTTTTATTGTCTCCATTTTCTTGATCCACCGTCTCATTTGGTTCGCCTATCGATTCATTTTCATATTTTTCGTTATTTGTGTAATTACCGCCTGCACAATTTTTGCGCGTGACAATGCAATGCAAATCTGTGTTTCCTGTATCCACATGAATTTCCACAATCCGGTTTTGCACCCGCAAAATACAAGCTCATGATGCTTGGCGGACCAGGTAATTGTATCATTTTTATGGAACTAAACTTTGTATCCCCAGGCTGTGGCGTTTAAGCCATTTTGCTCTCCGTAGAACTAATTATACACCTGGAGATATACTCTCTTTAAGTGCTGATTAAACGCATCGACTGTTAGGACAACTTTCTTCTTCTTCCTTCCCCTTTATAAGCAATTCTGCTTGTTCATTGGTGGATTAAATACCTTTATGGAAGGTTGTCACCCCCCATTTTCTGCGTCTCCATCGTCTCCTCCATTCTGCTTATGTGGTTATTCTATTCTTTTATTTTTCTATTTTGTATCCATTCATTTATACACTGTACGTTAATTTATGTCTTCTTCACTTCTCTTTCGATCTCTCAGCTATTTCCTGTAATTCTTCTCAGTACTCTCATCTCTGCCGTTTCCAGTAGCCTTTGTGTTGTGGCTGTGCTAGGTCTTGTTTCTGAGCAATATGTCATTATTGGTCTTACACTGGCATTTTAAATTATTGACTTCATCTCAGTGTTAATGTGTCCGTTTCATCATATAGTGTTATTAAGGCATCCTGCCAGTCTATTTGCTTTTTGTACTTGATCTCTCACTTCTTTGTCCAGGTCTCCATAGTTAGACAGTGTATTTTCCCAGGTATTTTATTTCCATTACTTGTTCAGATACTTGATGCCATTCAATTTCTATTTTACATCTGGTTGGTTATTTGCTGACTACTATTGTTTTAGTTTTCTGAGATGAGATTCTCATAATAAATTCTTTGCTCTTATGTTAAATCTGTGGACCAGTCTTTGCAGAATTTTGAGGACAATTTTCTTGTTTTTTTGCAATTGCCATAATATAATTATCATTATAAAAAATATTAAAAATATTTAGCGACAGAACGTGAAAAAAAACGTCTTTTACAATCTAAAAGGTAACAGGTTAGCGACAAAAAATTAAAAGGCGATAGCAGCACAACTGTTGGGCACATGGTAGTGGTAGTGGACACTTTAACATGCTACCAACTGCATTAAAAGCGCCAAATTTTATAAATAATCTTTAGAATAATTCAATATTCGATAAAGTTTATGAACATAATATGGGTAAAAAAATACCTCGAGGGCCGAATTAACAACGAAATATTATTAAGAGTTTGAGAAGTGATTTTATATCCAATTCCCATAAAACTTCAGGTGTTGAGGTTCTTCACGAGATCAAGGCTAGACACCAAATGCTACATGGACCATCGTTGTCATGATATTCACGTTCAGCGACCCCAAACACTCCCGAGTAAAAAGTTTGCATGAATTTGAATCGATTTACAGAAAACTCCAGAAGATTGTCCCCGCGTCATAATATTCGTTGTTTTCAGCTAACCCCAAAAACCCCGAAAAAAGGGTTTGCCCTGATTTTGTGTCGAATTTTTCAGAAAACTCCAAGAAACGAAGCCCCTTCCGAGCACCGGGTGCCTAGGAATCCATGTCGTAATGATATTCGTGTTCAGCAACCCCAAAAACCCCTGAGGACCGAGTTTGCACTGATTTTGTATCGAGTTTCCATAAAACTCAAGTGGTGCCCACCCGGAGCACCAGGTGCCTGGGAGTCCATTGTCGTCGTCGGCGATAATCATCATCATCAACTTTTCTATACACGGTACAATCTACGTAAAATATTTAATGCAAAAATAAAAACATAAAACTAACCTGAGTGACAACGTAAGAGCCTTTCCAACTGAAATAAGGCTTGTGGAACATCAAGAACTGCAATTTTAGTTTTCCCATATCGTCTGTCACGCGGAAACTGTCCGCTAAAGTTGTTATCCAGTTGACGACTTCTTCGTTTGCGTACGTGATCAGCCCTTGGCCGAATGGATGTTTACCATCCATGACAAAGTTCAGAATTCCTAAAAATTAAAGGCTCTGTAATATAATATCTAATTCAGATTTTTATGAAAATGAAAAATAGTTCTTGTTGAAACGGTAGAATACAAAGGAATTACATAAACCAAGGAGCAAATTAAGAATGTAAGTTAGACTGATCGTCATCTCAAGTACCTTATTTCTGGATACGTGTCCTCAACATCTTTCCGTTCGTTATCTAACACTCTAACATTATCAAACTGTGCTAACTCTAATTCAGTATATTGAACCTTACCAAATAAACAGCTTCATTTTTTAGTTTCAAAAGAATTGGACAACACCGTTTTATGCTTTAAGTGGTCAGCTAGATTACCAAATCTTATTTCCTTGGATTTTTTCTGTATGATTATCCCTAGAATATAGTATATGCAACATAGCTAACTAGTATTGCAGATCCGATAAAGAGTAACGAGAGAATTAAGAAATAAGCTACTCCAAACGTTAATATGGAATACCATCCCTAAAAACAAAGCAGCAAAAGAGTGCTCTGATTATAAAACACTGAGCCTCATGAGTACTTTCATACTTACCTCATACTATAAAAGTACTGGTGAAAGTAATACATAAGAGAATATACGAAAGTCTAGAGCGACGTCGGGATGTAAACGTGCTTTCTTGACTACGAAAATGCTTTCAATAAAGTAAGACAAGAAAAACTAATACCAATACTTATAAACAACAGCATTGACAGTAAAATCATAAATATAGTGGCAAACATTATATTGGAACCAAATGTGCCATACTTCAAATTGATGGGCAACACTCAGAGAAATGAAGATCGTAGAGGAGTATAGACAGAGATGCGTTTTGATCGTGACTACTCTTGTTTAACTATATTCTGAAGAAATTTTTCCAAACTACGCTCAATAATTATCAAGCGGTGGTTACCGGTAACGGAAAATTAATTAATAACTATGACATGCAGACGATAATGTGATCATAGCAACAAGTTATAGAAGATCTACAACATCTTATCGAAAGCTTAAGTATGAATAGTGCTGAGATGGGAATTACTATAAACGCTAAAAAAAACGAAGTACATGCTAATTACAAAAAGACCACAAAGTATAACATCACCTTACTTCCCCAAGGGAACAAAAAGGAAAATTCTAAGACTCATAATACAGGGAAAGATTCAAGGAAGATCTGTTGGTCGAAGGGGCAGAACTCATGGTTGAAGAATCTACGTGATTGATATCAATGCAGATCGATTGATTTGTTTTGAGCAGCAAGTTCAAAAATAAAAATAGCCATTATAATTGTCAACCTCCGTAGGTAGACGGCACTTTATAATCTATTTCTAATGAGTGTAGAGTAATAAAATCTCATGAAGTATTCAAAAGCGCTACAGGGTAATCCGTTAATAATCCGTCAATAAATTCCGTCCGCTTTGCAAAATTCTGTCGTTTCATAAAGAGCAGTAGGTATCACCCTGTTTAAGGGATTAGTCCATTGTTATCGACAGATAAACACTGAGCCAGAGGCGCGCTAGTGGGTTAATTGACAAAAGAATATGCATTCTTAAAAATCATATTAAAGAAATAAAAATGTAATACAGCAAACAGTGTTATTAAAAAAATATAAAATGTAACAATAAAATATATACGAACCGAAATCGGGAAATACTCACAAACACACACGAATGAACTTTACATATTGAAACACTTGTGGGGAGTTTAAATCAATTTATTCACAAAAACTACAAAAACTTTACTGATACGTTATTACAATTCTACATCACTATAGTCTTCATCCGAAGAACTGTCATCATCCCCTGGTGTTATAATTATAGGGTCAACCACCTGATCGACCAAGTTGTCCAGTTCCCACATTTTATCTTCCTCTTTTAAAACATGCTGGATTGCTTTTTGCCAGTTTTCTGATGTGATTTCCATAATGGCTTGATCAAAAAATACCTTGACATCTTTCATTTTAAATGTGGTATTGTGCCTTGCAACATATCCCTCATTTAACTTGTGCCCATAATAAGTTCTATGGGATTTAATTCGCAATGATATGGCGGTAGGCGTAGCACAGTATACTTTATACTTTTCTGCTACATCTTCTACGGCATATTTTATGAAGCGAGATTTATGTTGTTTTACTACGGCTAGTAGTTCCTTCTTTATTGAATTCGACTCAAACTGAATACCTTTATTTGACAGCCAGTTAATAATTTCTTGCTTTCTCCAAGCTGAAGTTGGTACCTTCTCTATGCGCCTTGAATGGTAGCTTGCATTATCCATAACCACGACCGAATCAGCTGGAAGAAATTTTAACATTTCCCCGAAGTAGTCTTCGAAGGCATCCGAATTCATGTCCTCATGATAATCTCCCGTCCGACACGACTCAAAGCTTAACAAACCTTCTTTAAAAATCCTTCTTCGCTTCCAATGTGAGCAATTATAATCCTCTTCCCTTTTCCCGAAGGCACTTTAATACCCGTCGAAAGGCCTTCTATGAAAGCTTGGCGAGCACTTGTTACATTTTTATCTTGCCACATTTTTTGGACCATATAACCTTCGTTTATCGACGTCTCATCAAGATAAAAAATTTTCTTGTGCTCTCTGCGGTACTGTTTTATAGTTCTCAAATATTTTCGTCTCCAGCAAATGATTTCATCACTTTCCAGTAATAGTGCCTTTCGATTGTGCTTTTCCCAGGAAAAATTCATACTTTTTAAAGTTTTCCATAAAAGTTTTCTGGATATCAAAGGAATATCGTTATCTTGGCTTATCTCCATTAGTATTTTGTCAAGGGTGGGTATTTCCTTTTTAAAATAAAACGAATGAACTTTTCTTCGAATGTCACGTTTGGTGTCTTCACCTAAGATTTTTTATGGTCTTCCTGATTTTCTCTTGCATGGACTTAACTGGCCTGATATCTTCTTTCTCGCAATAATTTAAAAATCGTGGACTGTCCAATTCCAGTCATTCGGCACACATCGCTCAACACTTTCTTGCACAGACAAACTAGGGTGATCGTGTTTTATGCAATCAATATACATTTAAAATTATAACTTTTTCACTAACAGATAGCGGAGAATTTTTTACACCTCTTTTCTTGGAGTAAATGTCGCCATTTTATAACTTTTTCACTATTTCTATATCACAATATTACTGTACGTTTAATTGGTGTAGTAACAATTACTAACTCGAATGTCGAATGTCGAATGATAATAATAAAATAAAGAGGGATTATAATGAAAGTGTAAGTAAAACCTCATTACGCGTTATTAGTCTTCATGTTGATTTATTTTAGTTCTTAGTAATATTAGGAGGTGCGTCATACCCTTATCAGTTTCTTCTAATGCTTTTATTCGTTCAGTAAGGGAAGTGAATTTGTTTTTATAAATAAAAATGTAATTAGCTTTAATGACCATATAATGGAATACGAGTTTGAAAATAAGTTAATCGAAAAATTAAATAAAATTGGTTATCACAAAAATATCCAAAATATGATATTTTGAGGTACATCAATTTTTGACGACGAAGTTGACATAGTCGTCCATTTGCCTACGCCCATGACGACACCGAAATTCCAGGCAAATTTTATGACAATTCATGATTTATTACTCTACACTCATTTGAAACCAATTATAAGAAGAAACATTAATAACAGAAAAAATTTAAATATAGTTAAGCAGACTTAACAGACCGTGTTACAGCCAATAATCAAGTGGATTTATTCTATTGACAAAAAAACCTGACAGTGTTAGATGCTACACATACGTGAACCATACTTTATTTTTATAAATATTTTTCGAAAAACCTTAAAAAGTTGATGTCCCCAGAGATTTCGAATTTTTTGTATTTCTACATATCTTTACAAATAATTGTTTATATATCTGTATCACCTGTTATTGGGTTTTGATATCATTCTCAGAGTTAGTCCCTACTTTTATTATCTTAAAAGATTTTGATCTATTTCTCATTAGGATATAATCGATTTAATTTCTTAAATTTTTTTTAGTTATTTAAAGTGTTTTTGTGGTAGATAATCAAATATATTCATGATAATCGTATGAAAGTCTATTATTTAGAACTCAAAACGCACAAAAAAAATCTACATGTACGATATAATCATAATCAGGGTTCAAAATATCGAAAATTTCAACTGATAATTCATATCTGAATATTTTGAATATTAACATTTTGTTACAATTCTTTAAAATCAGTTGTATTGAAAACATCAGGCAAAAAAAATACTTAATAACAAATTGAACTGAAGGACAGAACCATTCAAAAACTCAATTACTACTACCACTTGAACTGCCAACTTCCTGTTTACATACATTTTCTGACTTCTAGACATTTCGGGATGTTTCGATGACATCTAGAACATTCTAGATTTTCAATTCTACATGGAATAAATCTTACAGAACTATCGCAATACTGCTCCTTCCTTTATAGTTCTTCGCTTCGAATAACTGGCCTATCAATGACCGACTAAAGCCAACCATATGAATCAGTTCCATGGTATGAAGCTAATCGCTCGATATGAAATACCTTGGGTTTATTTGTAGCTGAAAACTGGATGCGGTAGATTAGATCGTTTATTTTCTGCATGACGGTGTACGGGCACTCCCAGTAACGTAGAAGTTTGGGTCATACGTTTGGGATCGAATAACCATACTGGGTCACAAAGTTCTCGTAGCGTACGTGTCGATCCCGACCTTGGATCTGTCACTTTGAAGCTTAAAACTTTTATGAGCAAATTCGTAGACTTTTTCCAATTTTTCGTTCAAATTTTCGATGAATGAAAAGGTGGAAAGATATAAATGATGTACATCAGGGATAAACGTTCTTCGTGGCAGGAAGGCAATCTTCCAAAATTAACATCTTTAGGAAAACTGCATTTCTCATCCAGTAATTATCATCGATGGAGAAGAACCGGTCGCTTTATGTTCAAAACTTCTATAGCCTAGCAGGTATAGAGAAATAAAAGAATCCCAATCTTTTTGATTATCAGAACAAGCATTGAAAGGTATTGACAAACAGTTATATTGTGTCTTTCGACTATCCCGTCTGATTGCAGATGAAGAGGCGTAGTGCGAGTTTTCTTAATCCCAAGTTTTTCATTAATTCTTGCCGTAATTCTGATTCAACAGTTCATCCTTGATCAGAGTGTAACTCTAAAGGAACACCTCGTCTAGATATGCCGTGTGTTATGAATGCTTCAGCTACTTTAGTTGCTGGGAAGGGGTGCGATTTCAGGCCATTTTGAAAAATAATCCATTGCGTCCACTAAGTACTTGTTTCCGCTCTCTGTCATCAGATGTGGACCACGAATCTCCAATACAAGTCGTTTAAAAGGCTCTACGGAAAGATATTTGTGCCATTTTACCACCACTTTTTATTCTAGGACCTTTTCTATCGTTACATAAATCACATTTATTCCAACAATCTTCTACATCTCTGAGACAATTGGACCCTGTTATGCAACAAGGAACCAATCAAACATGATTCACGTTCTGCAATAACGAACCATATGTTCTGAAACCTGAGCGCCATCTACTGGATGATAGAACCATATTGTCATATTAAACCATATTGCAGATTAATAAATTCGGTCGTACAGGTTTTCAATTTCGAACCAAGAAACTTTGGTTTTGTTCAGATATCTGTAACATGCGACAGTTGGTAGGTTGGTTCCATGTTGCGGATTTACTTCAGTAGGTTTTAGATTATGATTGACAATCTAAAATATTGTAAAAATATTATCTAACAAATAAATGTATCTCGAACAGTGCAAAAATGTGAAAATGTGTTGATGCTTCCTTTCCCGAAACGTTGTAAGTTTTTTTCTTATTTAAAATAAAAATCTTTCAAAGTTCACTTTGATTTTGTTCGTAATATGTACGTTGGTTCCTTATTGCAAAATTATTTTTCAGATCAAGCAAATAAACAGTGAGGAAAAGCAGAACCAAGTAAAAGTGCAAAATTAGCAATCAGTAAGTTTCATAAACAGGATATATCGATCTTCATGTTTCAAATTGTTAATGAAAATAGTTTGTTCCAGATCCCCAAACACAGAAGTCTTTCCGGTGGTTAAAGGGAGTAAATTGATCGTGAAGTTCATCCATTGTGAAATACCGATGAAAAAACTACGACTTATTTCGATTAAACATGTCCAAACATCGCCGATACTCACCAATTCGTTGTTGTTTTCCCTCTGGTATGAGAAAACGCGGCACTCATTCAGAAAACAGCTTTCTCATAAGTAAATTTCGTGTATAATAGGAAAATCCTACCTATTATGACTTTGGAGTGTCAGCTATGCCTTACAACTTCACTTTGCGGTTTTCCATCATAATTTACAGTGTTTTTTTTTGTTTGGTCTTCCAAAGCTCTGAACATCATTGGTAACAGTAAGACCGCATTTGAATTCAGCAAATCATCATTTAATAGTTCGATGGAGCAGAGTCCCAGTAACACTTTTGAGCCATTGCTCAGATTGGAAGGTATTTTTTCCATCAAATAACAGTGACAAATCAACACACAAAATTGTTTAGAATCGATCGATTAGATAAATCACAAAAGTAGAGTCAGCATCGATTCAAGCACTCATTCGATAAATAATCATCACCATCAATCAGCGAATCGCGTCCACTGCTGGACATAGGCCTCCCTCAGTTCTTTCCAGTGTTCTCTACACTGGGCCGCTTGTAGCCAGTTTCCTGCTACACATTTTATATCATCGGTCCATCTAGTCAGTGGTCGTCCTCGGCTTCTTTTATAGTTTCTCGGCCTCCATTCCATAATACGTCTTGTCCACCGTCCATCTTGTGTTCTGGCTAAGTGCCCTGCCCAGTTGCACTCAAGCGTCGTGGTTCTTTCGATGAAGTCTTGAATTCCTGATCTTTGCCTGATTTGTTGGTTTGTTATGTGGTCTCGAAGGCTCACGTTTAGCATTGCACGTTCCATGGCTAGTTGTGTAACTCCGAGTTTATTCGCAGATTTTGCGTGAGTGTTAAAGTATCTGCTCCATAATTTTGTACAGGCAAAACACATTGGTTATAAACCTTTAGCTTGAGACACATGGGAATTGAACTTTTTAGAATATGGCTTAATTTGCCAAATGCTGCCCATGTTAGGCCTATTCGCCTCTGTATTTCATGTGTTTGATTGTCTCAATAAATAATAATCCGAATGATATCAAATTTTGACAGTATACTTTTTAAGGTTAACACTATCAAAATGTCATGCCGATAATTCATTAGAGTCGCCATCTCATGGTTGTATGTTAGTGTTGGTGAATAATTACTGTCTCCAGAGATCATTTGGACCTCTGTTTAATTAAATTAGGGATATAGCCCCTAATTTATCCATTTAGCCATTTTTACGGACCCAAAAAACATTCGGGCATTATCTAGTCCCAATCGGTGGATCGAATATTTTTATTTTCGAGTCATTTTCATTTTCAAAAGACTCGTAAGCTGGTAAGAGAAACTCGTAAGAGTAACCCAAGAAGAGCTGGAAAGTCTTCAATGCAGCTCAATTTTTTAACTGTATATTTTTTTTGGAAGGCCGCATAACAATACCGTACGAGCTTTTAAAATGTCTTTCAGCTTTGAATTGCTATTATAAAAAACATTCACCATCTGTCATGACTATGGTCCACCAGATCCAAATCCCAGTACTAGCCTGACCAAAATTCAAACTACTTCCCCAAGTCCTCAACACCTACCAACTCGGACAGACCAGCGTGGTTGTTTATTGATCAATTTCCCCGAATGAATACACAGCAAAATTTTATTAAATTTGATAAAATACAACATTTTGTCCCCCTTCTGTATATTTTATCTCCTATCGCTAAATCGCAAAATAGTAAAGAATTACGACACAATTAAAGTAAAATAACATTCGTCAGCTTAATAAAAAGGCATATGGAACAAATACAAAAAAAATATACATGCTTACCTCTTACTGAATTTTCCGTGAGTAAGGTTTCCTCGTCGAGGTGTACTATCCAATCATTATCGCTAAGAATATTCACGCCATCTTCCAAACAGTACTGCAAGGCTCTGGCTTTGTATAAAGCGCCACTTTTGGTACGATAGTCCGCCGGCACCACCACTTCCCGAGTCCTTCTATGAGTATCCAGACCTATCGCTTTATCCGTTACGACTTCTATCAGGAAATTTTCCAAACCTGCATCCAAACATTTGTTCATGTTCCGAACAACATTGTTTTTGACCTGAAAATAAAACAATTATTAATACGACGATTAATTTAAAGTTCTCTGTAAATGCGAATTCATTTTAATTAGGTATAAAATAGAAAAGAAAATACTTCACAAATCACCATACCTTTATAAACAATCTACATACTACATAATATATAAATATATCCTTACAATAAATAAATGAAACTTAAGAAAATATACCTATACTATAATAAATAACAAATGAGCACAATAGACCCTTCATACAGTTCACACAGCTGTTCTTTTCTACTTTCCATAAATGAAATACATTTCCAAGAAGTGTAGCTTAATCACACGGGTGAACCACGGCAAACCTGAGCAACCTTACCGAGATTGGGTAACCAACCCCAGTGGAAAGACGAGTCAGGGCTGACGAGGAAGGGAGAAATGGTCCTCCGAAAAGGGGGTTGGGCGATAGGCCAGTAACCTATTCTTGTAAAAAAAGTACTACTACTAAACCTTCAGATAGGCCTCGGAATGGACGGATATCAAGACGACGACTCTGACAACGGAATATGAAATTTATGCTGGGAACATGGAATGTCAGAACGCTAAATAACCAGGAGCGCAGAGGATCTTTCTACACGAACTGAAAATATATAAAATAGGAATCACTGCAGTACAAGAAACTAAAAGGTATCGGGAACACTAAAACACACACTATACTGTATAGCGGTAAAGATGAAGGAAATAAAGAATTTGGAGTAGCCTTTATCGTAGAAAATAAAATGAAGCACCTGATAACAGACTTTCAAGCCATCAATGAAAGAATCTGCAAGCTTAGGACAAAAACGCATTTCTTTAACATAACCCTTATAAATGTACCCTGTCCCACAAATGAACAGGAAGAAGACACTAAGGTAGCCTTTTATCAAGATCAAGAACGAATCTATGACGCAATACCAAGAACGGAAAAGAAGAAGAGTACTTATGGGTAATAGGGAAACATAGTTTGCATAGAGACACAAATGAGAATGGTCAGTTTCAAATAGATTTCACAGCTGGAAAGACTAATGATTATCAGTTCGGCATGCTTCCCACATCGGGACATACATAAGGGCACCTGGATATCACCTGACGGAAATACAATCAATCAAATAGACCATATACTGGCTGAAAAAAGAATGGCGAGTATATTAGATGTAAAAAGCAGACGTGGCGCAAGCTGTGACTCAGATCATCCACTAGTACAGACACAGTTTAGATGCAAAATCAGTCGACAGGTAAAGGAAAAATATCCAAAACCAGAAAAACTAAACTTAGATAACCTAAAAGTCTCTGAGGTACAAGAAAGATTTGAGAGAACGATGGATGAAAAATTACTAGAAGAAAACAAAGCAGACTCCACAATAGAAAACCAATGCAACACCATTAGCAGTATCATACTCAACACAGCGAAAGAAGTCCTAAAAACAAAGACACAACGGAGAGAAGAAACATGGTTCGATGAAGAATGTAAACAAGCTATACAGGAAAGATATAAAGCACAAAAGAATTACACGTTGAGAACACCTTTGAATAACTGTTCTGATGAGACCTATTAGGTCGAAATACGTATCAACAGATACAAAGGCGCTGTTTGCGTGAAATCAAATATTTGCTGTCTTTTCACTTTATTCGGATCTACTCTGTACGAGTACTAGAAACCAATTCGCTAAGTATTCCTGCTTAGTTGAAAAGACGTGTCGTGGAATGCAAATTTTAGATTCTCCACGTCTTTTTTAACACCTTTATCAGATTAAAGCGGAAATCTGAATTGTGTTTCGAAACTATTTTACGGTTTTATAAAGTTTTAACTTTATTTGAAGATATGTCATCTGATTATATGAACTCAACTTAACTTCAAGAGCCATTATCTTACAAGTATTGATGGTATATTACTTATCTTTAAAAACACTATACCATATATGTTCATGATTGTAATACTCTCATAAATGACTCCACTGAAAAATAAATAAGCATATAAAATACTTGTACGCGAAGATAATTTCTTCTAATTTGAAAAAAAAAATTCGATTGGATAATTGGATAAAAAAATTGACGTCAACCAAAAAATCTCAAATCCAGATAACACTTAACTATATATAATATTGACAAAATTTACTTATCTTTATCATCACGGTGTAATTTCCACACGATAAGTTTATGTTTATTTATAGGTGTAATAAAAGTTCATTCAAGAAGATTGAAAAAAAAAGTCCAATCCCAATAGCTCATCCGGTATTAACAGAAATACGATGAAATGTTATAGAATATGATTCGTGATTAAAAAGTTTGGTCGAAAACACAAATGAAATGAATTCCAAAGATTCTTCTTTAGAGTATTGTAGAATCATGTTTTTACTTGGTTCAGTATAACAGAGATTATGGTTTTGTCAACAGTGGAAAAAATGAATTGGAAGCAATGATAGATTTCGGTGTATAATGGAGGCCACGGAAAGAAGGAAACGTTAGGGTTTGCATAATGGTTTTAACCTTGCAGGCATAACCGACAGGCAAGCCCTAGCGTGTATGTGATAAAACTGTACAATAATTATACCGATAAAAGTCGTATCTTTTTGCTTTAATAGGATGGATCCAATGAATTCCGTCCCTCTTTTTTCGACGGTAGAGTAACCACAACGCTAAAATTTGATTTCGCTCCATATCTACACTATACCTTTTATTTTACGAAATTATATTTAGTGTTATAAGGTAAACGACTCGGTCAAAACTTAAGTACGGCAGCAGTGACGCCTTGTGTGAAAGCACAATCAATTCTGAACGTGCGTCAAAACTACCGAACGTCAAAACCACCGAACGTTCAAATTCTTAGTGTGTGAAAGGAGCGTAAAGTGTATGTGTATCTTCATTACAGAACACAAAATAACGTAAGAAAGCTTGGAACAATCACTGGTGGTTTCTGCAGCACAACAAAATGATCTTGTCGAAAGAATTCTTTCGGCCGACGGCATGCTTGGTAGAATCTCTGAAGTTTTCTTTACCTTTATACCTTTGATAAATTTTTTGTGATAAGCCTTTTCTACTAAATTTATTTAAAAATAATCTCACAGCTGTTTACACTAAATATAAGTAATAATTATTATATTTTATGCTGCAAATGCAGTTAACCTATATTTCTCGTTGGACATTAATAAAATCATCTCTTTTATCTGTCGGGCCTTTTGATTGCATGTAAATAGTAAAAAATATATCTTGTAATATGTTATCAACAAGATATGATAAACAATTATTAATTTTAAATGAGCAAGTAAACTTAAACATTGAGTCATTTTTTTTATTTGACGTCGTTTTATTTAATGCGATAATAAAAATGATATTCTTTCTAAGAACATAATACTTTGGATACATTTATTAATATATGGACAACTATAAAACTGTGGCTATGACAAATAGAACATGGATATGATGAATGGAACAGTAATTTAACCTAACAAGCCAATAATTTGTCACTTGAAGAGTTCGTTAGATTGCGCCCTATATTTTATGCACCCAAAGAAAATGTTGTCCAGATCTCCAATTGGGTTAGTGATTTTTTAACCACAAAAATTATTGTTATTATTCAGATTTAGCCATACGGCTCACACTCCCTCTAAGGGGAAAATTCACTCATCCCAGATACCTACGGTATCAAAAGGATTGAGCTCTGGTGGGACTTTTTCCATGTTATCGAGCCCTAGGTGACTTGGTATGTTGGAGTATCTTGCAAAAATTTTCGTACACATCTGGATGTCGCGAGGAGTATAGCTCTCTGCATGGTCTTATAGTGATGTTCATTTAGACCCAACTGTTTTATGTTCTCTAGGAGGTTTTCGGGAATAACACCAGTAGTAGATAGAATAATAGGTACTGTCTGGGTACTTTCCATTCTCCATTGTCTCCTTATTTGTATTTCTAGATATCTGTACTTGGCGATCTTTTCGTTGTATTTAACACGTAAATTATTGGTGTTGGGTATCGCCACCATTATTATTATTATTATTCTACATAAGCAAGGGCAGAGGGACAAGACCCTATTATGCCCAAAAACAAATAAATTTCATTAGTAACCTAGTAGTAAATTACAAAATTACAAAAAAAAAAGTTATCAAGTCTGTTTTTGAATGAGTTGGTAGACAGAGCAGAGACAATGTTATCATTAAGTTTATTCCAGCACTCAAAAACTCTATCTGGTAGAAAGTTCATAATAAGGAACATGGCTGGTATAAACCGTAAAAAGCAGAGGTCCAAGGACAGAACCCTAAGGCACTCCACTTTCCACTAACCTGTCATGTGAGAAAGATTCGCCAACTCTAACTTTGTAATGTCGATCTGTCAGGAAATCATCTATCCAACGAAGTAAAGTAGAGCGAACTCCTAAATGTTCTAGCTTATGTAGAAGCCTGTATTGTAAATGTAGTACAATTTTCCTTAGTTTCTTTGTTTTTCTTTCTTATGGCCCTATGCATATGTTTGTACATTTCTTCTTTTTTTCAACTCTACATTAGTGCCTTTATTTCCATCATATCTGCCTTGTGTCTTATTTGAGGTAAGTATGTTTTGTGAATGTAGTTCATCAAACAAAACTTATTTTTCGAAATAGTTCCCAGAATTTTCTATTTGAGGAGACAATGAATAGGTAGGATTAACTAGACGACCTTAATACAAACACTTTGCTAACCATAATTTTGATGTATACACCACATGAGAAAATTCACGTATATCAAGATAAAGGCGAAGGTTAACAGTTTAGAGATAAAAGAAATAGATTAACATCTTGGTCTTAAAATTTCCGTTGTGGACATACGCAATCTCATTAGATTAAAAATACGTTTATTATAATACAGTTACTTTATCAACTTACAATCGGTGAAACCTTGTAATAGAAAAGGAGAATAAATAAAATTATTTAGGGTTCGGCTTTATGTACAAGGGAGTAATAAACGTGGCAAGGTTTTCATATACCACGAATTCTGGATAATCAATAGCGTGCCATGTTAATTCAAAATAAT